GACATTAGTCATGGGTGCAACCCTCTTTGTGATCTGATCCAGGGTTCTATTTCCTATTGACTATACATACTTTGGTGTCCCGTGTCCTTTGTACCAGCTTCGTCATATCTTGACGGTTCCTCGTTAATGAGACAAATGGATCATGCACAGGTGTTCACCGTGTACTTGTGTTTCAGTTGTTTTTAACTCTGAAAACTAGGCCTTGGCAGAGCAGCTAATAAGAGGGCAAGGGCCTTTGATGTGTCAGCTGGATGGCTGACCCTTAGAACAGACTGTGACAGCCCCAGGTGGAGAAGGACAGAGGGCGAATGAAAGAGGAAAGGAGAGAAGCCCTGGAGAACATATCCTGTTCCTGGGGAATTTGCTGGTGAGCAGGGAACTCAACACCCACACGGTGAAAGATGAAAAAAGCAGTTGGAGAGACTTGGCTCAAGATGTGGAGCTCCACACAGAAGGACAGTTATGGTGGCTGGTGTTTCTCCCCCGACAACCCCCTCTAGTGCCATCTTCACAAGACTGAAGCACAGGCACCAAGTCAGCTGGGTCAGGGGACCCCTGGGGTTCAGCTCTGAGTGGCAGAGACTGCTGGTGCTCCCCAAGATCTGTCCTGCCTCCTTTATTTAGGGCGCTTTGCTAAGCACTTGATTTCGTCTCCTGTGTGACTGGTACTAGCCCCATGGCTGAGTTCTGCATGGGAGAATTTGAGTGGAGGGATGTGAGCTGTCTCCAGCGTGGTCCAGAAGAACCTTCCAAGAGCAATTCTTGCTTCCTCTTTCCCCCACCCAGGTTCTGGAAGAAAAGGAAGGGCTCTGGGGAGCAGCCATGAGGGCTTGGCCTCTGGAGTGTAATGCAGCTTCTCCACTGAGCTACGCTGCAAGTACATTTTTATTGGTTTAGGCTGTGGAGATTTGGGGCTGGTTTGATAGACAGTTAGCCTACATTGGTTGTTAGAGGGCTCAACTCAGGTCTCCCCCTTTCTAGAAGGCCTCCCTAACCCTTCCAGACCATGGTGTCCGTAGAACTAACAGCACACACTGACTTCTTAAACCAGGTCTGAGTTACTATTTAACTGATCATTACCCAAACCGTGTTCCATAGAACAAGAGCTTTCAAGGTAGTGTTGCTAAGTATTTCATGGATAGAGAGTTCCATGGTTAAGCACATATGAGGAAACATGAAGATGAATGGGTTTCATTTTTGTAGAAACGACTGGTCTCTATAAAACCTCTTAAAATGGATTATAGAATACCACATTCCTTGGTTCGATTATGGGATTTTGTCATAGACTACAGTTTGGGAAATACGCATGAGACCCTTTTGCTGGTGTGTGCATATAATCTTGTGGCCTTATGAGGTTTTAGGCATGAGGAAAGGAAGAGGGAATTTACTTGGATCTGATGCTCTGTGCTCAAAGGGTGAAACCCACTAAGATACGACCATCCCTGAGACACAGTTCTACCTACTGCAATCATGTGAAAAGCTTAAGCCTGGAAAGAGACATGAGAAAGCTTAGGAAGGCAGGGTAGAGGAGCTAAGCTTCCCAAGATGGTTTGAGGTTTTCCATCAGGGAAAGAACAAGGGAAAGCACCTAGCGGGGAAGGCCCAGCACGGCCACTTTTGGAAACTGAAATTAAATGAGACTTGGATTTTGCCCACCACGTTCACAGAAGCTATGCCAAGCCAGCCACGAAGGTGCATGCCTATCACCCCAGCAACTCAGGAGGCTAAGGAAGGAGGATCGCAAGTTTGAAATTCAGCCTCAGTAACTTAGTAAGGCCCTAAGCAACTTAGCAAGACCCTGTCTCAAAATAAAAAAATAAAAAGGGCTGAGGATGTGGCTCAGTGGTAAAGTACCCCTGGGTTCAATCCTCTGCAGCACCAAAAAACAAACAAAAAAACAGAGGCTGTCCCAGTTCCTTCTGGTATCACTCTGACACACCTTCACCCTCTGCCTCACACCTGGAAGCCTCTGGAGGGCAGGGGTCATGTCTATTTGTCACTCCAACCTCCTTTCATTCACCTGGCCTGGAACACAGTTCACATCCACCAGAGGCCCCGCGGCCCTCTCCACCTGAGATTTCTCATCAGAAGATGAAAAGCAGAACCCTCCCAGGCTGGTGACCAACATTTAGATTTAAAAACGCATGCATCGTGCCCGGCTCGCAGCCTGTGCTCAGGAAATGTTAGCTATTCACATCATGAGCTTAATGAATGTTTGTGGAAGGAAGAAGGGAAGGGGGGGAGGACAGATGCGTACAGCAGAGCAGGAGGCACAGGGGGAAGAACAGCCACCCGGTCTCATTTTCCCACTTAGCTAAAGCCCGAAGGCAGATGTCTCTCTTTCGGTGACAACCTTTCCTTTCCCTCATTTCTCACAGCGGCTATTTTGGAGGCCCTGATGTGAGATATTGGGTCAAAATTTAAGGCCCCTTGCCAAAGGCAGGGGTCAGGAAAGGAGGGATCATACTGTCTGCAAGGGCACAGAGCAGAACAGAGGGTCCCTGGGAGAACAGCCCCTGCTCTCCGCCGGCTGGTGTGGGCTCGAGGTTCTCACGCTGAGGCCAGGCCTGCAGGGTCTGGAGGGCCGCGGAGAGGCACCCTGGAGGGTTTGCTCTGTGCTTGGCTCTGGCTCCCAGAACCTGATGAGAAATCCAAGGAACAGCGAGAGCCTGGCGCCTCCTCTTCGGGGGACTGTGTACCTGATAAGTTGTATTTTTATGATAAAATGCATGACACTGAAAGGCCAGGGAGCCAGAGGTGGGGCTTGGTTGGCGGAGGAAAAAGAATTCCAGAGTATTAAGGCCAATCCATCGGCCTCCGAGAGGACATGAAGACTCGGGGAAGGAGATGTCCCTCTCTCTGGACTGGCTTCCTCTCCTCCTGCCTCAAATGACCAGGGAGAAAGGCCAGCAAGAAGACTACAGGGACCCAGGAGGACAGACACAGAAACCCTGGGAGGAGAGGGAGACTGATGGCTGGCTTCCAGTGGGACCGATCCCTTCCTGAGTGGAGGCCTCTGGAGAGGCTGTGCTAATGGGACAGATGGCTGGAGTGCCACATTGGAGGCCCATCCAAGAGCGTATCAGAGCCTTGCCTGGGGGGACCTCTGCCACCCGGCTCCAGAGTGGTCTGCATCCTACATGGGACAATGGATCTGGGCATCCACGTCCCTCCAGATTCACCTTTGGTTCTCGGACAAACTATTTAAGTAGTATAGATCAGGAGACGGAAATACCATTTCTGCCCCCAGTTTAGGATAATTTAATTTAACTTCACAATGAATATTTGAGGAAGCCCCTGGAAGTTCACGTGAAGATGAACAGGCAGGACCTTCACTACATGGATAAACAGGGAAGACTGGAAACTTCCTCAAGACTCACTGTTGGGTGCTGCTTAGCAAGAACTGCATTAGCAAATAGATATATGTATATATATTTATATATTCATATCTACTTTTATTAATATATGCATATTAATTATAATAGTTAAGAAATTAGTTTATTATAGAAACATATTTATATAGTTATATGTAATATGATGTCATATATTAACATATTTATTAGTGCATTGCCATAATACATAGGGATACAGGAAGCATACCCAAATATAAAGTTGATTATTTTAGGACAGCATGATAATAGATGATTTTATTTTTTTCTGTCTTGAAGTCTGGGGAATAGGAGGGAATTCTTCTTTGTTTTTGTTTGCAAATACTTTCTCTTATTTTAAAAAAAAATCACACACAGAATAGTAGGAAGAGAAAAATAGAAATAATTGAAATTATGGCTGATCTTCAAGTTCTCCCTCATGCTTTTCTGTGTGTTCAATTCCACTATAGGGGGTTTTACTATCTGAATTAGAGTAAATTTCATCAGTTGCCCACATTTTAAAAGGTCAGACTGCCTCCAAAAAAGCCCCCCCACCTTTGTTCCTGCCACCAGCCAGGCCTTTGTCCCCAGGTGCTGTGAGGGCTGGGCTCTGAGTCCAAGCAGCCCAAGCTTGTCGGGGACCCTGCAGAGAGTGTTTGCCCTTGGTAAGCCTCCGCATGTCAGGGAGATAGAGGCCTCTGTGTTGCTTGCTGAGAAGTACCTTTGGGAAGAGCCAGCTCCATCCCAACCGTCAGGACCCACAAGGTCCTGAGCGCAACACAGTCTCTGGGTGGGAGGCAGATGCTCCCTGCACGGAGCCACGCCAAACCCTCCCGCACCTAAACAGCTTCTGAGTCGTTAAAGACCAGGGAGACCTGGCAATGAATGGAGGGTGGTCAACATGCTGGTGCCCTTCACGCCCAGGGAGGCCCTCAGAGCCCACCCTGAGCTGCAGCCAGGATTCTTCCCACAGAAGAGGGAACAAGAAGATTCCCCAGCCCCGTCCTCTACTCAGAATGCTTTAAAGGAGCCATCCCTGACCACAGGACAGAGACATAGTCAAGTTCCTCATGCTGGTACTTTAGCTCTTTGAAAATATAACCGCAGCCCCACTTTAGCTCTCATCCTCACCCGACACACTGACCAGCCAGTCCCACACCCTTGCAGACCCTGGGCCTTCACATACACCCTCCTCTCCACCACCAAGCCTCCCCTTCCCTCATCTGACCAGCATCTGGGACTCGGCTTCTAAGGTCCAGGTCCAATGTCACCACTCCCCACCACCCTTTGCAGCTGGCAGAGTTGTTAGTACACTCTGCCTTTCCCAGGCACTTGATTTAAGCCTTCATAGAATATGCAAATGCTGACATACAGATCATGCATGTGGACCTTTGTATATATAATAGACCGTTTCTGGACAGGGAGTCATATTTGCTCCAAGCATGACCGTGATAATGAAGATGACGTGAAGTCTAACAAGTTAGTCTTTGCTTCTACAGCCCTGGTGTAAGTGGGAACTCAATAAATATTTGTTGCAAAAGTAAACAAACACACAGCTACAAGATGAGGATGTGGGAGGAGGGGGTCAATGAAAGACTCTCGCCCAGAGCATCCCAAAGGCCATGCACTCACCGGGTGGTCGGCATCCAGTTCAGCGCCATAGCTCAGAATCTGATTGGCAAACCTGTCAAGCTCTTGGATGGTCCTTGGGAACCAGGGCACTGCAACACAGAAAAGGCAAAGTCCTGAGTGCTGATCAGCAGGATGTGGCCAAAGGCCTTGCTGAGTCAGAAGGCACAGGCCTGGCCCCAGTCGGTCAGATTGATGGTGTCAGCAAGAAGGGTTCCGCACAACCCTAAACTCCTGTAATTGAAAAGTTCATTATTTAATTTTCTTGGAAAATTAAATTTTGAAGTATATCCCAAACAGATTCTCTTTCCTGGGGATTTTCCTGAATTATCTCAAACTCTTCTCCCTCCCACCCATCCTATTAGTTGTCTTCTATGACTTTTTAGCATATTATACAAACTATAAATACCAGAACTGTTCTATTATAAACAAGGATGGTCTCATGAGACCCCATCTTCCTACCTGTGTTTCCCCAGATATGCTGGAAAAATATTTCTAATCCAAAAGCCAGTTAGAAAGTCAATATTGAAGCAGAGTGGGTGGGTTCCAGTAGTGTGGGATTTGGAGGCACCTTGCGGTACCTAAAAACCTTGTGGACTTGCTATTGTAGGGAGGAGACAGGGCCTGAGTCTTGTGGCTCACAAAACCCTGAACCATGAGGTCTTGCAGAGAGAGAGAGAGAAACCCCAGGGAAATGAGGAGGTGATATCACCCAAATCCCTGGGGCTTCCAGGAAAGCAGACACACTGGGAAGAAATTACCCCAGAAGTGAACAGAGACTAGGAATATTGGCACTGTAAGCTCCATGAGAGCAGGAACCAGGAGTATTTTGTAGTTCCAGGAAGAAAGAAGAGTGAAGGAACAGAAGAACTAGCTCTAGATATGTTAACACGAGGCACTGACAGCAGTAACCACCAGCCACAGTGTCTACTCTGGTCTAGTTGCTGTTTCCGGAGTGTCTCCAAAATGAGGAAGGCATTATAACCTCTACTGTACAGGTGACAAAGTGAGTCTCTGAAAGTCTAAATAGCTGGTTTAAGATCTCACAGTGTTGATCCAGAACATGTGCAGGGGGGAGAGGAGGCGCTGGATGCAAGCCAGGGCACCCCAGTCCTTGGATGAGCCTCAGGGGACACAGCTGAACTTGACCACCCCCCCCCAGCTCTGGCTTGGAACCCAGGTTTCTTCTGCCTCCTTGTCCTCTCTGTGTCTCAGTCTCTTCTCTGTAAAAGGGGATAATAATGATAACAGCAGAAGGAAGAGCAAATATTTTAAAACCTTGCTGTGTGCTCACTCAGTATTTTTTTTAAATGTTTCAATATTTTTTTTATTGGTTGTTCAAAACATTACAAAGCTCTTGACATATCATATTTCATACATTAGATTCAAGTGGGTTATGAACTCCCATTTTTACCCCAAATACAGATTGCAGAATCACATCGGTTACACATCCACATTTTTACATATTGCCATATTAGTAACTGTTGAATTCTGCTACCTTTCCTATCCTCTACTATCCCCCCCTCCCCTCCCCTCCCATCTTCTCTCTCTATGCATCACTCGGTATTTTTGGTGGAGCATCTGTTTTAATCTGAGGTTTGCCACCAGGAGTAAATGAGAAAGTTGGCAGTGGGCGCAGCCCAGGTCTGGCACAGGGAGGTTTTGATTCTGACCTGCTCAGGAAGGGCAGAAAAGAGCATGCCTGCCATCTAGTGGCCGATCTGGGGAGATGCTGTCCGTGAACAAGGACAAGATCCGACTACTTTCCAGCAAACACCTGGATGGTGTTCAGGTGTTCATACACTCAGCTTAGAGCCTCTTTTCTGTAGCTCTGATCTGCTTAAACTCTTTATCAGCCATGTCAACAATAAAAACTAACACTGAGTTCTGTTCTCAATAACTCTTGGTAGCCCTCTAGTACAGATATGAAAACAGAGGCAAGAGATGTCCTAAATTTAATTATGCAGGTGGGAGAAGGGAGAAGAGACGAGGGAGGTTAGTTAGTAACAAGCTCATAGCTTTTACAGACAAAAAATAGCATTTTATATTTTTGAATGTGTGTTAAAACCTTAAATTTATTGTGAACCCCTAGGTACCACGGCATCCTGCTTGCACCCCCAACCAATCCAGAGGAAACGGCTACCTCTCCTTGTGGATGTCCTCCTAGCCCAAAGCCTTCCCTGCTTCCTATACTCCCACCTCACTTATCTATGGCCAATATAGGTTCAATGTAAACAGCTTGTGCCTTGCCCAGACTTTCACTGTGAAGTTGTCTGGTTCGTGAAGGTTGAGCAGACATTTTTCCAACTTCTGCCTCATCGCCCTGTTGCTGGCAGTAGAGGACAGGGACCAGTCTTTTCTGGCCTGGTCCTTATCTCAGGACTGGTCCTTTCTGGCCATCATCTACAATGGCCCAATAAAAGGGCTTATTGACGCCTTTTATTTCAGAGATCTCTGGGTTTCGGGAATTTGGGGGTAAGCATGGCTAACTCAACCACACGCTGTGAGTGAGCAGTGGAGTCAGGGTGCAAATGCTAGCCCAGACAATGCTGTCATCTTTGGTCTTGACCACCCAGCTATCCTGCCACTTTTGGCTCTGGAGCCCGACTGCCTGACTGACTCCTTGTAGTTTCTGGAGATTTCCATGTCCCTCCATCCCAGCCCACTTCTGAGATCAGCTCCCTAGGGATGGTCAAGACAGAAGCCAAGGCTGTGCTGGTAATGGCAGTGGACACGTGTATAGCATTGGCTCTGGGCCAGGTGCTGTCCAACACCTCAGTCTTCATGGTGCTGAGCAGCAGGAAGTACTGTTACCCCATCTTGCAGACGAGGAAACTGGGGAACAGCAAGGGCAAGACCACGAATAGACCTCCTTGCTCCCAATAGCTGAGACTCCAAAGTCTCCGTGACTCAGCACCATGCTCTGCTCGCCTGGCACGGGACCTGGCCTCCCACCTCCTCACCTGACCTCCTCCCAACCTCTTCTTTCTCCTGGAGTCCAGCATGGGGCCTGTTTCCTGGCCAACTTCAGAAGAACTTGGGAAAGAACAGCCTACTGTGGACAGGCAGGGCTCAGGATCTCCCACGGGACCTTTCTGGCTTCTCCAGAACACTGTCACCAAAGGCACCCACCTGGGCAAGGAGGCCTATCCCTCTCCTCTGCATGAAGCACCATTGATAACCCCGACTCCTCGATTCCACAGCATCCTGTTACCACTCCTCCATCATCTCCTTTGCCTAAGAATCACCCACAGTTCCAGCAGCTGCCACCTGAGACAAGGCAAGTTAGGCCTTCTTGCTGTTCTTCCTTCTGACCTGGGGACCCCGAGACTCACAAAGAAGATTCCACAAACGTGAAGTGAGCACCTACTATGTACCTGGCACTGGGCATGGTAGCCACCAGAGTGACTGTAACATTGACTCCAACCTTGTGGTGCTCCATGAAATAAGTAAGGAATAAATGCAAATATTCACCAATGCCAGGAAGTTCTTGAAAAAGATGAACAGTGCGTGGATGATTACCACAATCATGTCAGTGAACACACCCATCACTTCATGTGGCTACCATTTGTGTGTGTTTGTCTGTTTGTGTGTGTGTGTGTGTGTGTGTGTGTTTGTGAGTGCATGTGTGTGTGTTGAGAATACTTCAGATAGTGCTTGGCAATTTTAGGTCTACAATACAAAACGTATTGACAATGACACTATGCTATACATCATACCCCCAGGACTTACTCACCTTATAACCAAAACTTTATACCCACTGACCAAAATGTCCCCATTTCTCCCTCCTCCCAGCCCCCAGAAACTGCTATTTTACTATCTACTTTTATGAATTTGACTTATTTAGGTTCCATATATAAGTGACATCATGCACTATCTATCTGTCCTTGTGGTAGGATTATTTCACTTAGTGTAATGCCCTCAAGATTCACTAATGTTGTTGCAAGATCTTCTTTTTTATCACCACTGAGTCGTATTCCATTTTGTACTCACTTTCCTTATTCATTCATCCATCAGTGTAGACGTTGAGGTTGTTTTCATACCCTGGCTTCTGGGAATAAGGCTGCAGTGAGAGTGTGAATGCAGATGTCTCTCCAAGACACTGATTTTTTTCCCCCCAAAAGTAGAACAGCTGGATCACATGCACCTCCATTTTTAAGAGGAACCACCATGCTCTTTTCTAATATGGCTGTATTAATTTACATTCCCACCAACAGTGTGCAAGGGATCCCTTTCCTCCCCCCACTTAGCCAACACTGCTTATCTCTTCTCTTCCTTACCTCAGTCAGGGGGTGCTATTCCAAAGAATATTCTGGGCCTCCAGACCCCAGGGTGAAGACCCTGGTGACATGACCATACCTCGCCAAAGCTCAATGGGACCTGAGACAGTCAGAGTGCGTCCCTAGTCCTGAGTGGGACCTTATTTGTCTCAGGGAGAGTTGGAGTAAGAGCCCAACAGCACAGAGAGCCCCGACTTAAATCTTTTCTTTACACTTTCTATCTGTGGGACAAGGACAAGTTATCAACTTCTTTGTGCCTTGTTTCCTTGTCTGTAAAATGATGACAGTACTATAACACAATACTTTATAAAACAATATATAGTTTAGTAAGTGAATATATAGGAATTTTTGAGAATAGTATCAGGACATAGTGAATACCATTTTTATTCAGCTAGAAGATACAGGAGGCATGTGTGTGTGTGTGTGTGTGTGTGTGTGTGTGTTTACTTAATAACAAATACTTTCTGAAAAATGCATTCTTAGGCAATTGTGCTGTGCATGACAATCACAGGTGTGCTTACACAAGCTAAGATGGCTACAAGGTCACTTAATGATATAATCTATAGGGCATCATTGTGTGGTCCATTGTTGACTGAAATATCATTATGCTGCTCATGATTGTAAATATGTACATGTACATACAATTTTTTTTTTGCTCTGCCCCAAGTTTATCACACCACAGAGGAAAGAGTAGAATATTTTCCAGCAAAGCTAGAAGGTAAATCAGTTGTGTCGTTGTGAAACTGAGCCTTGGCTTCTTTATCCATAACATGGATTGAAACTATCTTTCCATATTATTGGCTGAATGGAAG